ATATATATATATATATATATATATATATATAGAATTGCTGTTGTTGCTGTTGTTTGTCTCTCTTTTTTTATTTTCTTCTTCTATCCACCGCATCGCTTGTTTGTTTGTTTGTTTGTTTGTTTGTTTGTTTGTTTTTTATTTGTTTTATTTGTTTATTGTTTACTAATTAATTAATTAATTAATTAATTAATTTATTTCTATATTCTTTTCCCTCAGTCTTTGGTTGGTTTGTTTGTTAGCTCATCTATTACTTTGCAACACGACATATCTATTTATTTATATTTATTTATATTTATATTTATTTATTGATTTATTTATTGATTTATTGATTTATTGATTTATTTATTTATTTAGTTTGGGGTTGCGGTTAGAGCTCTGACTTAACTCGAAGGAGAAATTCGTTTTCTTCTTCGTTTTGGTTTTGCTGCAGTGCCTTTGCTGCTGCTGCTGCTGTTGCTGCTGCTGTTGCTGCTGCTGCTGCTGCTGCTGCTTCTCTGGAGTCTATAGGCAAGCCGTGGATTTCTGCTGTTTCTGCAGCAGCAGCGCCCTCAACCGCTGCTGCTGCTGCTGTTGCTGCTGGCTCTGAACAAATAGAAGAATCATCTTGGGGTACAGACACCCCAGATGACTCTTCATTTGCTGCTGCTGCTGCTGCTGCTGCATCAGCAGATGCTGCATCAGCAGGTGCAGCAGCTGCAGGTGCCGCTGCAGCATCAGGCGCACCAGCAGCAGCAGGTATATCAGCATTTGGTGCAGCAGCAGCTGCTGCATCAGCATTTTGTGCAGCAGCAGCAGCAGCTGCAGCCTCATCATGAGCTGCTGCTGCTTCGTGTGTTTTATCTTCTTCTTGCTGCTGCAGTTTATACCCGTGTCGTTCAAATACCCTCAGCCACAGATCCCTCGAGGCTTCATAAGTTTCAATATAATCTTCATATGTCTATAAACAAAGACAAAGCAGCAGCAGCAATAGCAGCAGCAGCAGCGTTGCTTTGCTGCAGGCTTTTCTCTAATTGAGTTCATATCGCCAGCTACATTCAAACACCAAACCCCAACACCCGAACTATAAGGGCTAGACAAAGTAGATTAGGGTTTAGGGTTTAGGGTTTGAGGTGTACGTACACCTCAACTCACCATGGCTGTGAGGTCTACAGGAAATATTTTTGTTGCGGGGTTTGTTAATGCGAGCATTTCTTTCTTCTTTCCACCTAAACAAAATAAATAAATAAGAATTAAAGCTTTAAATAATAAAACAATAAATCAAACAACAACTAAACAAAAATAAAAACATAAAAAACAAAATAATACGAAGAGGAGACAAACAGAAATGCACACAGAAAATCACGGCTTGTTTATAAAAATACTTGTACACATATATATATATAAATCTATATATATATATATATATACTTGTATATAAATATACTTGCATATAAATGTACATATATA